TAATGCAGTATTTATTATGAATCACCAAAGTGTGGGGGGTTCATGTCTTGTTGAAATCGAGGAGGAATGTCTACGAAAGTTTATTCGGATGATAAGGAGAAATAATCTAAAATCCCATATTCTGAGTGTTCATATCTGTACCTTCACTGCTTTTACGAATTCTAATCAGCATATAGGGTGTTATGAAAGAGAAGGAAAGGGAGAAAGGAAGGAATCAGTGGAGATAATCAGTAGAGATAATCAGTAGAGATAATGTTTACCAGAAGACTTTATCGATCGGAAAAGCAGGACTTAATAATAATGATGATGATAATTTGAATAAAAGAAAAATATCTTTTTGGATCTGACAAGACAGAATAACAATGAGTTGAAAATTGAATACTTTTTAAAAGCTAAGGCTACAACCTATTTATTGTGTCAACATTTCCTTCACAAAGGTACCCCTCAACCTCTGGCACATCTGTCGTGGGTCTTGTATATGATGGCGGTGTCATGGTAGCGGCAGACTCTCTCGGATCCTACGGCTCCCTTGCAAGGTTCAGGGATGTCAAGAGAGTGTTCAAGGTGACAGACAAAGCAGTGCTCGCCTGCGGGGGAGACATTGCAGATTATCAGTTCATCAGAGAAGTCATTGAACAGAAAGTGTAAGTATGTGTTTGGTTTGTACTTAGTGAGTAGACTGCATCTGACGACCATATGCTTAACATAATAGTTCTCAATACAATAATCCCATGCTTAAATGTTCATGTTTGTTGGAATTTTTTATGCTATTGCAGGGCTGTCAATTGCATGAATACAATTTTCATAACCATTTGCATTATTTTGACACAAGTTTTTACTTTATATTATTATTTTTTCACGGAATTTTTAGTTAGTAAAGCATTTTGTTCCTCAATGAATGTATCCCAATTTCTTTAAGCATACAGCTGTGAGTACCATATTTATATTTATATGTAAGGACTGCATTTAAACAGTACAATACAATGGTAATAACAAACTTTTGTTTTATAAAATCCATACAAGGCATGGAAGCTTAAATCTCAAGAGTTCAAATCTCTTTACCTTATAAAGACAGATTCACCTAATACAGACCCAGTGGTAGATCCAGGAAGATGTATAGAGGATGAATAAGAGGGCACCAAATTCTGGAAGTGAGGGGGGGGGGGGGGGAGCTATAAGCTAGGGAACTGCTGCAATGCAGATCTTTCATCTCATTTTCAAAGTAGGATATTGATTAATCCAGTGACTAGATTTGTGTTCTGTCCTCGGTCCTTCTTTGTCTTAATTTTTTTTCTTTCTTTCTTTTTCTTTTCTTTTCTTTTCTTTTCTTTTTCTTATACTATTAATATTGATACTGTTGTTGTTGTTATTGATAATACAATTATTATAATGTTATTAAAATTTTAAAAACAATGAATATAGATTTTTTTAAGCTTTCCAAAAATCAAGGAGAAAGGTAAACAGGTGAGATAGGTAGGGCTGATAGTTTAAGCCTTGATGACTAAACACATGTAGAGCCATCTTTGTGTAAAGACAATTAGCTATTTGATTAATATGTATTGATGCCATCTGGACTGATTGGGTTAATTTTCCTCTCACTTAATGCACCGTTTATTGCAGGCGGGATGATGAGTGTGGAGAGTACACACGAGTGCTGGATGCAGGAGCCTTACACTGCTGGTTAACAAGGGTTTTGTACAACCGCCGCAGTAGGTTCGACCCCTTGTGGCTCGAGTGTGTTGCCGCTGGTTATAGGGATGATAAACCGTAAGTGCAATAGCCTCCTTAATTTGGCTTTTCCATACTTATATGCTGAGGTGGTCAATGTACTACAAAAGAGATGCGTTTGGTATTAAAACATAGAAGAATTGGTTGAACAGTTCCTAGCCCCATCAACTTTCATAAACACCATGATTTGATTCAACCAGTGATAGAATGGATATTACAAATGCTCTGTGTGTGAGTATGAATGAGAGAGGATGTGTGTATACATGTCTCTTGAGTCTATCTGTGATGAAATATGATTCAAGAGCCAACAGTCAATGCACTCTATACTGTTACAGCTTCCTGGGTTACGTTGACAAGATTGGAACAGCGTTTGAGGCCAAGGAAGTGGCATCTGGCTTTGGCGTTCATCTGGCCATCCCCATGATCAGAGAAGCCAGGGAGAAAAAACCAAACTTGACCAGGGAGGATGCAGAGAAGGTAAAGATCTCATCCTTACTCTCCTTCTGGGGAGCTCTCTCTTTCTCTTTCTTTCTTTCTTTCTGGGTTTTTATTTCTCATTTCATATTTCATACTCCAACCTCCTTTTCTTTAAGCTTTCAAGTTTTCTTTCCATTTCCCTCACATTTACCCAGCAAGTTTATATTGCCTGTTTCATTGCACAAAAAGGTTTTCATTCTAGCAACATGAATCAGAAGCATACTGTAACATTCATCTCAGAAGACCTATATTTTCTTTTAACACATTATGTACCTGTATAGTTGGTGATAATACAGTGATTGTTTGTTTGTTTTTTCGCTCCATAAAAAATGGATTTTACTCCACTTATTACAAATTATTCTTAAGCAGCCCAACAAGAGTGAACTTTTATCTTTTTTTGTTCTGGGGGCAGCAACAGCCAAGTTGGACTGTATAGTTTGAATATCGTCTCAAAACTTCAAAACTGTCAGTCTCCACTTTTTTTTTTCTTTTTTTTTTTAATGAGTGGTATTAAATCCTGTTTTGGAAGCCATTTAGGCTACAATATCCCCCTACCGATACATGGACTCTAAATCAAAAGATTTGTATTTTTGTCCTCTACAATTTGCAAGATATCTTTTTATGAGCATATAACCTAATTACTATGCAGTATTCTAGGATGGTGCCCATATATACTGTGTCAGTAAGAGCACAAAGTTAAAAAGGTTATCCTAGTTACCCCTCATATATGAATGGATATTGGGGACTTCTATGAATATGCAAATAAAAAAAAATAATAATAATAATATAAAAAAAAAATTATAAATTAAAAGAATGTATAGAATATCCAGACATCAAAAGTAAAAAGATGATATACTTGTTGGTGATATGTAAATTAATATGGTGTGTGGAGGAAGCATAAGGAAATGTTCAGGTTAGAATGCATTGCTGATCTCCAATGTCAACTGCCAAAATGATAAGCTTTCTTAAATTTTCTCTTAAGAAACTTGCATACAGAAAAGAATTGTTTTAATCTACTACTATCCTTAAGCCACGGTCAATGGTTGGCTAGCTGGATACTCGCTGGAGTTTATATTCACTTTCCACAGTCAGAGCTAAACTTCCTCAAGGCTTTGTACACGCCCTGTTCAACAAATACACTAGGTCTCGTCTTGTGAACTTTATATACCATGACCATAGATCTTATAGGGTGAAATTCATTGCAGTGATTTTGTAATACTTGACTAGGAGCAAATGAACTAATGGTCAGTTTTCATGGAGGTCTCAGATTTTCAGTCTTTTAGTATTGTTTTTAGATGATGATGTTGCTTTAATGTTTTCATGTGCATTGGCTTCGGTTTTGCATTTCATATATGTATACATTTTTAAGACTGTGAATTATTTGACTGCCAATTGTCCAAACTTCCTGAAAGGAATGTGGTTTTGTCAGTATTGCTGTAAAATTTTCTTACATTTAGAAACACTATTTATTGATTTATGTTTTTCCTTGGATGACATAATACAGATGACAACAGTAATTGGATAATGGAGAAGCAGAATGCTAAATATACCTCAGAGCCATGCAGTTGAGTGCTGGCAGTAGCAATGTCAGTTTTTCAAGAAGTGTTATTTGGTTAACTGATTTTTTGCAGTAACTTTCCTTCAACATATGAAAACAGTAAACATAATTGTACATAGAAAACTAACAATGAGAGGTTAGCATGAATCAAAAGTTCAGCATTCACGTTTCCTTTTTTGTTTGATAAAAACCCTTTTCATGCCAAGCTTTTGATTCAGAATGTAACACATCCTAAAATGTGGCATTTTACTCATTTACTCGACATATGCATTTTAGGAGCGTAATTCACACCTTTATTTTGCTCTACAGCTCTTGAAGGAGTGTCTCACTGTGCTGTATTACCGTGACTGCCGTGCACACTACAAGTATCAGCTGGCAGACATCACACCCGAAGGCGTTACCATCCACGACAACCTAAACCTCAAGCCAGAGACCAACTGGACCATTGCACACCATATCAAGTAAGTTGTCTGTTGAATGTTGTGGCAGTACCTTTAAGCATTATGTTGTTACAGAAAAATTGGTCAGTTTGTAAGCTTCTGTATTTGGATTTTTAGCTGTTTAGCTTCTAATGTGATTTTTTACAAGTGAAATGTTAAAATAAAGACAAAGATTGTGAATATCTAACAAGGCAGCATTGTGTTTTCATTGCTAAAAGGACATGATAGTGCATTTGTCTAACTGGATATCATGATCACTGTTAGGAATTAGTTCTGGAGAATGTACCTAGACATTGGTTTATGTCATTAGAACAACATTTTGCTTTCTCACATCCTAGGACATAATAATTTGATGGGAGCTGATCACTGTCTGATAAAAAAAAAAAAAAAGACTTGAAACTATGTAAACTCCCTGCAAATTATCAAGATTATGATTATTCTGAATTCTTGTTTTTACTTGATTAAGAGTTATTTAAATATATCCTATGATATATACCCTTTCTATGCAATAAATCTGTAATAAAAATAACAACCATGGTGCTCTCTTACTCCTCAGGGGATACGAGTGATCTGTTGTAGGATTCCGGCTCCCGCACGTAGATTCTTGCAGCGAATCTTCGTCTTTCTACGTGTTGGCTATTTATCAGTTAGATGTTTAAATCACCAGTGGATGTATTCACGTTTTCCTTTTTTGTTGATAAAAACCCTTTTCATGCCAAGCTTTTGATTCAGAATGTAACACATCCTAAAATGTGGCATTTTACTCATTACTCGACATATGCATTTTAGGAGCGTAATTCACACCTTTATTTTGCTCTACAGCTCTTGAAGGAGTGTCTCACTGTGCTGTATTACCGTGACTGCCGTGCACACTACAAGTATCAGCTGGCAGACATCACACCCGAAGGCGTTACCATCCACGACAACCTAAACCTCAAGCCAGAGACCAACTGGACCATTGCACACCATATCAAGTAAGTTGTCTGTTGGATGTTGTGGCAGTACCTTTAAGCATTATGTTGTTACAGAAAAATTGGTCAGTTTGTGAGCTTCTGTATTTGGATTTTTAGCTGTTTAGCTTCTAATGTGATTTTTTACAAGTGAAATGTTAAAATAAAGACAAAGATTGTGAATATCTAACAAGGCAGCATTGTGTTTTCATTGCTAAAAGGACATGATAGTGCATTTGTCTAACTGGATATCATGATCACTGTTAGGAATTAGTTCTGGAGAATGTACCTAGACATTGGTTTATGTCATTAGAACAACATTTTGCTTTCTCACATCCTAGGACATAATAATTTGATGGGAGCTGATCACTGTCTGATAAAAAAAAAAAAAAAGACTTGAAACTATGTAAACTCCCTGCAAATTATCAAGATTATGATTATTCTGAATTCTTGTTTTTACTTGATTAAGAGTTATTTAAATATATCCTATGATATATACCCTTTCTATGCAATAAATCTGTAATAAAAATAACAACCATGGTGCTCTCTTACTCCTCAGGGGATACGAGTGATCTGTTGTAGGATTCCGGCTCCCGCACGTAGATTCTTGCAGCGAATCTTCGTCTTTCTACGTGTTGGCTATTTATCAGTTAGATGTTTAAATCACCAGTGGATGTATGTTTTTTCCTTTGTATTTTCATATTCTCAACTTCACAGTGCATCTCGGTAAGATTATTTGTGGATATATTACAGATATTCCTATGTTTCGAGTTTTTAACAAAATGTGATGCCTAACAAAGTAAAGAAAATAAAACCAGGAGAATGTAAACTTTAATAGATAAAAGACTAAACAAAAATATTTATATTATTATCCTTTATTAATGCTATTGATTTTTATACTCTCCAGATGCCAAAAAAAATCTGAAACAGATCATCATTAATTTTTAGCTACTTTTGAGAATGACTTGCCTTTTATCTCATTAAGGGCAAATCCAGCCATGACAAACTAAGCCCTAATGCTTGGATAGCAAGGATCCACAATACATGGTATAAGTTTTGTATGTTGAATGGATGTTTGCTTGTTTGGCTCTGTGTTGATGAGTTAGTCCCTCAAAAGTAGGCTTTGAGCTTTCTTGTAGCCACACTTCATGGAAAATTGTTTGCCGCAGCCAAAATGTTAGAGAGCAGGGGAAATGTCTGTTTCCTGCAACTCATTTTTCACTTTAAGCTGATGAGTGCATCCAATGCCCGGAGCGAGATTTGCGATGACATGGGAGAACCTGTCATTATTGGGTTAATTATCAGTGCTTAGTCACCAAGGAGTCAATTTCCTTGCTCACTTGTTTACTCTTTTCCTTGATTTGTGTGTGTGTGTGTGGGGTGGGGGTTATTATTATTGCTATTAGTATTCATAAAATTACAGTAGTGTCAACAACAATAATAGCATTAGGAAAAATAACTTTATCAAAAACTCAAGGAAAAGGGAAACTGGCTTAGGGCATGGCTTACTAATTGGCTCCTTTCTGAGCACTTGTCAAACCTTCTATATACAAACAGAAATTACAAAAAAAAAGAAGGAAATAGTGATGACTCCGAACCATTGGGTTAATGCATCATACACACAAAAAAAAATATATATGATTATTCTTTTCTCAAGTAAAAACCTTCACTAATTGCTTAATATAGAATAATAATCATTATGTTTAGGCTAAGCATAAAGGTTCAATATTAGTGACATACGACTTCTTTTACCTCATATAGAGTTTCTTTATCAAAGCTTACAATTAGCCCCCCCCCCCCCCTTACTTGATGAACTATGTCAGCTACTTGGGATGATTTTCAGTTGCTGAATTTATAATACTAGATGTTTAAGCACAACCAAACGGCCAAAAATGAATTGAAATTATGATCACTTTAGAATATCTATTTATTAATATTTTAGCTTGACATGAAGTATGATGTATAGATTTGCCTTTATTATTTATCTAATATCAGTCCACATTTGACAGAGTAATATTGATATTAACCATTAACCATAGTGCAGATGATGTGACATTATTTATCGGAGTTGACTTGATTTGATGATATTCTTGTATCATGATATTAAGAAAAAAAAAAAAGAGTGAGTGTGTGAGAGACTCCAGTGTGGAATGTAAGCTGTAAGAAGGGTAAGCTTTCTATTATAAAGTGTATAGTGTAGAACACTAGACATACCAACTTAATCTAGAGAAAGTTGATCTTAAAATGTTATAGTTCATTCTCAAAAACTTTGCTTTGTCATTATGTAGATTTCACTTTTCTGTATATTACTTTAACACACATGCACTGATTTAAAAAGTAAGATCATCTTTGCAGTACATGGAGCAGAACTTTTGACTTTAAATTGCAAGGATCAATTATGAATAGTACAGCCTAGAATTCTATTCTTTTAATATTTTGTAGTTATTCAAATACTGTATTGCTTCATGGCCTTGACAATGCAAATATCAGACAAGCACATATATCAGTTAAAGGTCTTTGAGTGTTGTACAATCAAATTTTTTTTTTTTTTCATTAATCACTTGCTCAGTGGAAAAATGGTAATGCTGTGGGCTCAACCAAATTAACAATTTGATGCATCATTAGAAGGGCATTGAAATTGCAAACAAACTAAAGAATTTTGATTATGAACTATTTTTTAATACCTCTGTGTAAAAAATGATATGGAAAATTATATAATATACAATAAGGAAATAGGAAATATTTTTGGAAGGTCTCATCTATGTGGGATTTCTTAAAAATGCAATATTAAGCCACTGCTAGCATGGCATGTACATTATATACATGCCATGCATTCTGTGAGTTTGTTTATATATTGTCCCCATGCATAAGTGACTACAAGTACTAAATTACCAAGGAGTTATTTACTAGTAATACCTGTCTCACCTATCTACCCCTTTCTTTGATTTTTATATTGCTTTTAGTAATGTCAATACAATTATGATGATTATAAGGTCTTTAATAATAATGACAGTATTAGTAAAAAAACATTTTACCCAGAAAACCGAGAAAAGGTGATACCAGGAGAAATCATGAGGTGTGCTAATTGACTCTTTTTACAAAACGATGCAAGAGTGACCACTACATTTTTTCCAGCAGCAGTGGTTTAAGAATACACAGTTATGATTCATACAGTATTTAAAGATCTATCAAACTGGAATCTTTTTATAGCCAGAAATCTGATTGTCCTCCTTTCCTCTTAACTGACATTGTTGAATATTTGAATATCTGAATATTTTGAGTAAGAAATTAAATTATTTGGATAAGTATCACAGTGGGAAAGGGTCCAATAAGGAAGGAAGGAAAGAAAGAAAGAAAGAAAAAAGGAGGCTATTACATGAAAATGTTTTTATGTCTTAAATTAACTCAATGTGAGTGACAAAACATGAATCAAAAAGTTGCTTTGAAGTTTCTTTAAGCTACCTCTTAAGATAAAAGCATTTAGAGTTTTCCTTTGTTTTCAGAATCAGAGAATCTGTTTTGCATAATTCACTAGTCACATGAAATTTGTATGAAAAGTTAACCTGATCTCTTATCTTCATCCTATTATTTTGCACAATGACGGAATATCAGACAAAAGGCATATCAATAACACATTTCATTCATCTTCATTTTTTTTTATTTTTGTTCTTCATATGCACAAATGGTTGTATATACAATGCGTATGTACACTGCACCATTGGGCAACAGTGATACCTTATACACTCCTATTTACATACCAGTTCAGTACAAAATATAAACAACACGTCATTTACCTCAATTCACATTTCATTTCATTTGAAAAATACCTAAGTTTCTTTTTTTTTTTTTTTCTTTTTTTTTATTACTTCCAACTTACATATCAAAATTATGCTATGATTGCACAAATGGACAAGTTAAAGTAAATGGCCTTTGTCATCTGCCACAGTATCACTCACAGATCTATGAAACATTGGAAATTACCAGTATATAAAATATTTTTTTGTGTAAAATTCTGCTAAGGACTAAGAAGAGAAAAAAATTAAAAACATAAAAAAAAAAATGTCTGGATATTGTGCTTTTTTTTTTCTTTTTTCCTTTTTTTTATTTTTATATTTTTTTATTTTTTTACTTAAAGAAAATCAACAAAATCTATAATACACTACCATTCGTATCATGCATACATTAACATCAACAGTTCCAGGCATCACAGAAAACATTTTATGCTTAGACTTTCCTTAACAGTACTGGTAAGATTCAAATAATTTTTTTCCTTGTTAAACAAAAACTAAACTTTGTCTAACATTCCAATCACATGAAGAATCCCTTTAACAGAGATAATGGCATCCTGAACTATGGAGTAGTTGAGTAACAGAAAAAATCATCATTAATAAATACATGTAAAATATTAATTGCAGACAAGAAATTTTAATCAAAACCAACCTATTGCAACAAGAGTTGTGTTGCAGTTGATCAGATTTAAGTTTTCAAAAAATGCTAAAATATGATTGATACTCATATATACATAGTATATATACACATGAAATATATATTTGCAAATGCTTCTATTGTATAATGTGCAATAACAACAAGATTTAAATTTGCAGCTTCTAAAAAAAAAAAAAAAAAAAATTGAATCTGCTGTAGTATTTCCGAATTTGCGTTACTTAAAGATTTACATTTCTTATTCACATATTTATCTCTTAATTACTACTTTGGCCAACTTAAGATTAAAGTTCTAGAAAAAATTGAATTTGAGTATGATACAGCAGATATTCTAGAAGGTACTTTTATAAGTTGATTTAGTATCACTTCACAGCTGAATATCCATTGCATGTTAGTACAGTCTCTGTACAAATTCTTTATTCTATTCTTGTCTGACAATTAACGAATCAAATATCATAAACCTGTATATTAAACTTACAAACTCGTTTGAATATTAGACACCATACTGATATGCTATTGAGCATGTTTCATACACCTAGAAATAAATGCCCACTGCAACTGAGACAAATATATCAATTCTACAACTAGCATAACTAAAATTACAATGATCTTCACAAGCATCTTTCATTCAAGAAGTTTAAGCAAAATATGATTTCTTTACTTTCAACTATTCATCCTTGAAGTTCACAACAACACATAACAAGCTGTTCATGTATGTGTTTTCAGTGGATTATACATTTTTGTGCTTTAATAAATAACAGTAATGAATTTATTGCTGCAACAATTCAAACTCTATCTTATAGAAAGCATTTCCACTGATGCTTTACCAATAGCAATTGTACATTGATTGACTGTAAATTGAGAATGCATAACTTTCAACATGCTATGATCAACATAAAACTATTAATGGCTTCTGAATTTCAGTTAACACAGCAGTCTAACCACATCCAAATCCTGTTCTGTGACAACCAAACATAATCAAAAGATTACCTCTTCAACTACGCCTGTTTTTTTATTTTTTTACTTAAAGAAAATCAACAAAATCTATAATACACTACCATTCGTATCATGCATACATTAACATCAACAGTTCCAGGCATCACAGAAAACATTTTATGCTTAGACTTTCCTTAACAGTACTGGTAAGATTCAAATAATTTTTTTCCTTGTTAAACAAAAACTAAACTTTGTCTAACATTCCAATCACATGAAGAATCCCTTTAACAGAGATAATGGCATCCTGAACTATGGAGTAGTTGAGTAACAGAAAAAATCATCATTAATAAATACATGTAAAATATTAATTGCAGACAAGAAATTTTAATCAAAACCAACCTATTGCAACAAGAGTTGTGTTGCAGTTGATCAGATTTAAGTTTTCAAAAAATGCTAAAATATGATTGATACTCATATATACATAGTATATATACACATGAAATATATATTTGCAAATGCTTCTATTGTATAATGTGCAATAACAACAAGATTTAAATTTGCAGCTTCTAAAAAAAAAAAAAAAAAATTGAATCTGCTGTAGTATTTCCGAATTTGCGTTACTTAAAGATTTACATTTCTTATTCACATATTTATCTCTTAATTACTACTTTGGCCAACTTAAGATTAAAGTTCTAGAAAAAATTGAATTTGAGTATGATACAGCAGATATTCTAGAAGGTACTTTTATAAGTTGATTTAGTATCACTTCACAGCTGAATATCCATTGCATGTTAGTACAGTCTCTGTACAAATTCTTTATTCTATTCTTGTCTGACAATTAACGAATCAAATATCATAAACCTGTATATTAAACTTACAAACTCGTTTGAATATTAGACACCATACTGATATGCTATTGAGCATGTTTCATACACCTAGAAATAAATGCCCACTGCAACTGAGACAAATATATCAATTCTACAACTAGCATAACTAAAATTACAATGATCTTCACAAGCATCTTTCATTCAAGAAGTTTAAGCAAAATATGATTTCTTTACTTTCAACTATTCATCCTTGAAGTTCACAACAACACATAACAAGCTGTTCATGTATGTGTTTTCAGTGGATTATACATTTTTGTGCTTTAATAAATAACAGTAATGAATTTATTGCTGCAACAATTCAAACTCTATCTTATAGAAAGCATTTCCACTGATGCTTTACCAATAGCAATTGTACATTGATTGACTGTAAATTGAGAATGCATAACTTTCAACATGCTATGATCAACATAAAACTATTAATGGCTTCTGAATTTCAGTTAACACAGCAGTCTAACCACATCCAAATCCTGTTCTGTGACAACCAAACATAATCAAAAGATTACCTCTTCAACTACGCCTGTTTTCATAGTCATATTTCTAAATGTCAGAGCTTATTGATATGATACATATAATTCCAACAGAAATAAAAATTGCTAATAATTGTATAAAATTTCTAAAACAATTAACAACCAACAAATTTCACAACTTGTAGTAGTTCCTTTACACACTGTTTCCAGTTGCTATGCCTATTCCTTTATGACAAAGACTTTCTTACAAAGTACACGTCATGAATATGCCTGTCTGGGTAATAGATACTGTTAACCTGATGTCGCCAGGGGTGGCATGTACATATGTGCCATGCCCACAATGAGTTTAGTTTACTAATCATCATTACACGCAGATGATTCTACGTCACCAATGAGCCAATTACTAGTCCTATCTATCTCACCTATTTACTCTTTTCCTTGATTTCAGATATTTTTTTCTTGTATCTTATACTGCTGTTACAATGTCAATAATATTATACTAATTATAGTGACTAATAATAACAAGCACTAGCAAAAAAAAATACTTTTCCTGAAAACTCAAGGCAAGGTGAAATCAGGTGAGGTCACAAGGTCTACTCATTGACTCCTCTGTAGCTAAGCACTTGCAGAGATACCCATATACAGAGACATTTCACAATATAATATTACAGTGAACAGTACATTTTTCTGGTGACAAGGGGTTAACAATATGATTACATACTTCTATTGCTAATCACTGTAGATAAGAAAAAAAAATCATGTGACATATTAACATATACAGTAACACTACATATAGAAAAAATGCTGATACTATTTTTGCACCTTTTTTGCAAATATATTGGCATCTGTTTTTATATTACAAACTTGGATAATTCTTTCTAATTGAAGGTACAATTTGTTAGCATCTGTAATAGATAACCAGGAAATAATTTCTATATTTTACAGGTGCTTATAATGCAAATTATTTTGGTCATTTTTTAAATATCATGTAACAAAGTCCTCAAAACATATGCATTACTTATGGTTACATGACAATGTGTGGATAATACAATGACCGTCCTAATATTTCCTTTTTAATGGAGGATACTCCTTCTGCATGTAAATCATGAGTACTTTAATTTCTTTAATGCTTAGTGCATCTCAACTTTTATTCTTTAATACATTTTCATTTAACACATTTTCAATTCATTATTCCACCGAGGATAATCTATTCTTAAGGAAAACTTTATTGTACCAGAAGTACTTATCAACATGAGCAAAACAGAAACCTTGAAGGTAAGTATGTCTTTAAGTAAATTTCAAAATATGGCATAATATAATATTACAGCAAAGACTGTAAATTTTGTATCTGAAATTTAACATAACTTTTCTTCTATTCTTTTTTGGTTATTAGAACTTAGAAATTAAATTCAGAGTAACGAAATAAAATAAACCTATATATAAACAAAATAACAATTACAAAAGAAAAAATATTTGTAAAGTGTATAAATCAAAAGAAAAGTTTGCATACACTATGTATCTAAATCATCACTGTCATATTATCTTGGTCTACGTACATATGACCTTAAAACTTAAAATGGCTTGATAACATTTAAAATACCAGATACGGCATGAATGCTAAAATATAAAAAATAACTTCTTTAAAATTATAAATGCCTTCTGTAAACTGAGCTATATGAATAAGATGCCCACACTGGTTGCTTTTTTATTCTTACCTTGCTATATCTGACACACTGTAACCCTTATTACAGTAACAGCACAGCAGTTTACCACAATAATGTGAATCGAAAACTGGTACTACATTTTTAAAGTATCATTATGCATTGATTTATTTCACTCTTCTTGGTCCAACTGGTCAATCCCATAGCCAACAAGAAAACATATCAGTGTTACAAATACAAATGTAAATTGTACTATATTGGGAGGAATTCAATAAATAAATATTAGACAACACAGACATGAACAGCTCAACTTACTGTCTAATTTTGACCAACTCAGAAATATGTACATATGAAGATGGAAAATCACATAGATGCTTCCAATACCAGACCCTGAGTATGAGTACATACAGTGATGCAATATTAGTTGCCTTTGGAGAACTGAGCATTCAACCCAGCATACAAAGAGCATATTAAAGTAAAATGTTAAATCTACAGTAAATAAAATTAATACTAAGTCCACTGCCAACCACCTATTTGACAAATCTGAAATGTTCCTGATACTCAGTGCTCCACTCTTCACACTAAATGAATCTATCGTAAATAAAAAAAAGTCATTTCGCTATGCTACACTGCACTTCAGAAATTCTTTGGAGTGAAACATGTCCCAATCATAACTACTAATTTTTCCCTCTCCTTTCAAATTGTACATAAATAATATTTTACTTATAAAAAGATATACCATTGTGTCTTTTATTCCCAGTTCCACAACAAAGAACTTAAAAGTGAGATAACTTAATGTTTATAACTTACCCATGAGGCAACATAAATGCTAGACATATCAGAACCTCCATTTCTTTTAATCAAACAAAAAAAAATGAAAGTTAAAGTGTGCTACTGTTCACGGAACAAGAAAGTTAAATAATATATTGCTATAAAAATGAAAAATGGCAGTAATGGTAGTGGTTGACAGTGCATATGGACGGATGGCTGGACTCAACCTGGCAAAAGGCCTTCTCGAGAAGACTTGCCTTACACATGAAAGCCAGCCACTGCCAACTGCTTGTTACTATGCCTCTGACTGCTGAGCACTGACAGCTGCCTGGCCAAGAAATGGGAACTAAAGTGAGCTTGCAGAGACAGAATTCACTTGAACCCTATACTGTGTGATGCATGTGGGAATATATAAATGTGTGTGTGTGTGTGTGTGTGTGTGTGTGTGTGTGTGTGTGTGTGTGTGTGTGTGTGTGTGTGTGTGTGTGTGTGTGTGTGTGTGTGTGTGTGTGTGTGTGTGTGTGTTAAAATAATTATATGCTCCATACAAATACATTTTCAGAAAATCATATTTTTATACTCTCAATATAACCAATAGCATCAGAATTACAGTTCCATCTATGGTCTAAACATGAGAATATTTTCAACATTTAAACCCTGAATTACCTATAATAAATATCCA